TTTCTTGCAATCTGCCAAGACTTCTATCTCTAGTCCTGGCCTTGGTGAATACAGAGTTCAGCCTCTGGCACCAGTTTTCTTTAATCTGTTCCATTGCTCAATATTCAGTAAGGAAAGATATTCAGCACCTGTTATGTGCCCAGCATCCTGCCAGTGACTGGGGACTCCTAGTGAATGAGAGAGAGACACCTTAGGGTTCTTACAGTGCAACAGGAGAGACAATTACACACAAGAGTGCAGCCAGCTGTGTTACTGGGAAGCCACATGATGCTTTGGGGAGGGCTTGGCAGGGACCACTGTCCTGGGGAAGTCAGCAGAGGCTACAGGAGTGGGACCTTAGGCAGTGGCCTGGGGCTCAAGCAGGGGACGTTGCTCCTCCTGAATTTGCTACTATGCATCAAACTGTGGCCCTACAGGGCCCATTTGAATCTCCAATAGCATAAAAAATCATATTTATTTGGACGATATTGATGATACATTTAGGTCAGTATGATAGTCTCTATTATGTCATGTATTTAGACATCATCTTAATTCCTTAACATTATATTTAAACAATTTATGTTAGAATGTAAGTTATTCTGTAAGAATACCAGGATTTCCTTTATAGAATTCCATTTTCTAGCTTGACTTTTAAGGACTTTTGCTTTCATTCTATTAAGTGAAAATGCTAGGGCCAGGAATGAAATATGAGTAAAGTACCCAGAACCATGCCTGGCATATTTTATGCACTCAATAAATGCTAGCTGCCGTTATCATCACCACCTTCCTCATCATCACCTTCATCATCCTTTTCACCATCATCACCATTACTACCACCATCACCATCATCACCATCACCACTATCATCACCATCACCATCATCACCACCATCAGCATCAACACCACCATCAGCATCAACACCATCACCACCATCATGGCCATCACCACCACTATCATCCTTTTCACCATCATCACCATCACCACCACCATCATCATCACCACCATCACCATGGCTACCACCACCACTATCATCCTTCTCACCATCATCACCACCACCACCATCACCATCACCACCATCATCACCACCATCACCATGGCTACCACCACCACTATCATCCTTCTCACCATCACCACCACCACCACCATCACCATCACCACCATCATCACCACCATCAGC